ACCATCTTAGTCAATTTACGTATTGTTTGCTTAAAGGTTTTGCGTCACTGACAAAATTTGTCACCTGTGTATATGGTATATAATTTGTACAAAATTGAACACTGTTGATATTGTGTAAATAGATGTCAATAAATGCTTCAAAAACTAAAAGAAAGAGAAAAAAGCAATGTGTTGTAGCTATAGTGGTAGTGTGTCGAACTGCTGTGCACAAGGTACCGAGGTAGATTCCCAGCTGCCGCAGAGCGTTCTTTAGCGAATAAAACATTTACTGCGCGGCGATTCAAATAATATCACATGATCTTCATCGTCATGTGACCACAGCGCATGACACCCTGCAAATCCACTTTCCCGCGCCGCAATTAAAATCCCATAGTGCTTAGTGCCCTCCGTCGGATGCAGCTCGAACCCAGTGAGATCACGTGGCTGTTAACAGGTGATGACAGCGGCTGTCAACATTTGGTAATGACATCTCGTTACCTTTCCCACGCGCCGCGGACATGACTTCACACCTATACCGCGTACGTGCCTTGAGGGCGGTACCTTGACGAGCTCGGATTGGTTGCTGGTTAATGCCCTGTGGGCGGGGCCTCCTATGTCAGTGATCACTGTGGGCGTGGCCATCGATGCCCACGGCCTGTCATCGGTCACTGGGATGGGAGAGCGGGAAGGAGCCCCGCGCTACGCTGCGGTCAGATCGGGTCTGGCCCCGCACTCCTGCGCTGTGATTGGTCACTGTACATACTGGTGCACTTTTTCTACTACTATATATATACAGGCAAAAGTAGGGTGTGCAAACCAGGAGCTGTGGGATGATAAAAAAACAAAAAAATCTAATTTAATGGCGAAAAAAATCGCACAAGAAAAAAGAGTGAAGTGCCACAAAAAAAGTTGTATTAATTTACAAAAACAATCAAGGCTAGACACAAGAACGCTAGATACGCAGAGAGTACACTTAAAAATGACGGAATAAAAGTCAAAGTGGAGCCGGTACAAAGCTGGGGCTCTCATACGAGACGGAAAAATCGCGCGGGCACCTTACCGCAACCGCTAGCCTTGTACCTCTTCCACGAGTGGCAACTTTAGTGCACTACTATGCTTCTCACGCGCTCAGTCTTTCTGAAAATTACTGATTTAGTGGTTTTCGATGACGATCAACAAGTTTCTAGTTGGAACCATGTCTATTTTCACAAATTGAAAAGTTAGTCATTTTCAATTAATTTGCAAATTAGTAAGCATCGAGCATTTTTTGAAGTCCGCCACCACAAGTAACGGGGTCCCGAGAAAATTATATTTTTACCTGGAGCACACTAATTGTAGGCATTTTTGTCGCTCTTACGTGAAACACCCTGTATATATGCATAAATTTATATAAACAAAAAATGCTACAAAAATAAGAAATATATGTTAATAGTTTATTTCAGAGTTCACTTTGTCTTGTCTACTTGCTTGTGCCTGTGTATTTGGCTCTTTTTCGTTTAGCAGGTGCGACTATTTGTACCGAAGTGATGTACGATAACACGCTCCCCTGTACATTTATACATCGGTTCTGGTCCATCTGGTCTTTAACTTTGCGTTTTTCATCTTTCAGTTATCGTGCTGCAATTTACTATACTGATGTATTTCTCAGTGGTGATTTCAAATATGCAATTAGTTTTCAGATAGCTTTACTACATCCTGAGTTATCAATAAATTAGTCATTTTAATTAGGTCCTCTTTACGGGTCGTTAGCGTAAAATTCTTCAGAATATATCGGAAATTTTTATAGAATTGCATTGTCCCAGACATGTTTTGTGCGGTGATGCTATTTTTGTTGCTTTTTATCTCATACAATAATTTTAATTAATTAGTCTCAAAAAGATATAACCTCCCGTTTTGTGCAACTTGGTTGCAGATGTGTTTTACCAATGTGATATAATTAGATTAGACTTAAAATAGCATCACCGCACAAAACATGTCTTGGTGAATGCAATCCTATAAAAATTTGTGATATATTGTGAACAATTTTATGCTAAAAGCCCGTAAGGATGACTTATTGAAAATTACAAATTTGTTAATAACTCGGGATGTAGTAAAGCCATCTGAAAACTAGTTGTATATTTGAAATCACCAGTGAGAAACACATCAGTATTCTACATTTCAGCAGGATCAATGAAAAATAAAAACCAAAAAGTTAAAGACCAGCCTCCCCCCTAAGCTGACAGCTGAAATGCTCTCTACTTAATACACCCTCATCGGTTCAAAATCGCTATGGAATTTTCGTCCGGTGTGTTCCTCGGTTTAGTAATACAAAACGCCTATGCAGGCTCTACGGTGCGCGCACGCACCTTTACAATTCGTTCAGTCCATTTGTTCCGAAATGACAGCTTAGTGGCTCCAACAGCTGTCGCCGTGTTTCACCCTATGGGTTGCATAAGTGTTTACAATTTTTTTCTCTGTGTCCAATTTGCAGCAAGTGCAAACAATCAACTAACCTCAGAAGAACAAACTATGCCTCAAAATTTGCCTGGGACCATTTTGTCTGGTTCCCGGAGTGATCCCGTGGCCAAAGAGAAGTATGACTGGTCCAATGAGGATGCAACTTCCACCGCAGTCTCAGCTTAGGGCTGAATAGAGTATAGAAATATTGCTTCCCATGTTGTGATCTAATTGATGGATAGTGAGATGCAAAGAAGGATTTTGCTCAGTTTCTCATAACTAAATCCTAGGTATCATATTCCTTTGTGTATTCACCCCCAATAAACTTCTGAACTTGACAGTGAAAAACTTTCACAGTCTCAGCTCACATAACAAAACACAATACAAATCTCAAACATTAAACATTAATTTATTCCATACTCCATGGCTAGTTTTGCCCATACACAGATCTTGTGTGAGCAGAAAACTCCAATAATACAAAGCAGCATTACCACTTTCAACAAAGGTGCGGAGAAAATTTTTAACAGCTGGCACCTCTTACGTCCTCGAACATGCAACAGACTTTGCACAGTAGTTCCACAGGATTCAACTTCCAAACTTGCATTTCATACAGTGGGTAAGCAGTAAAAAGAAATTATGCACACAATTCTAGACATCACTGCTCTTTGTTCCTGGTAGACTTGAAACACTATCAACTTGTTAGAAATCTGATATGCAGTTCTGGCACCTCAACCTTTTGGTACCTCTTCACCACCTGCACACTTTCCTCCAAATCGCCTAGCATGTTTGGCAAGTGAAGCACGAGCTCTTTACATTACAAAGCGGCCGGTCAAATATCCCGTGCAATTGCTCCTGAAAAGCTTTTAGTTGAATGAGCTAACACTCGACAGCAGAAACAAGAGCATAAATGACACAGCAGGACTAGGCTCCACATTTACGGCTTGTCAGCAAAATCGAACATACATATTCGCTTCTCTTTTGTTGGCAAAGAGCTGTACGTCTTTCGTCCAAGCCGAATAACTGGGACGAAATCAATTGGAGCTCAACCACCAAAAAGAGAGTAATGGGCCTGCCTCTTCACAAGAGCTACATACAGCCTTTGCTGAATCTCGAGGCAACACCAGCAACATCCCTCAAGTGTTCACAACTCTTACACAAATGCAAGGCCTAGGGAAGTTCCTCACAAAATGAAAATTGGATGGTACAAATGAACACACAGCAGATTAAATGCACCATTGTGCTTTGCTTTATAATAAAAGACAAGGGGGTGCACTACTTCTTCACAACTCAGTTGACAAGTGCAGTCGCCCAATTTTTTAATAATATCAAGCGAGCGTCGACCGCCGGGACGGCCAGCGCTGTGCCGCGGAAAAATGCGGTGTCACGGGAGAGATTAAGCGCTTGCGCACAAAGGTCTTTCTGTTGCGAGCGTCGTCTGCTAGGCCATTCCGCGGACCGCGCACAGCCCCTACTCGTTATCTGCTGGCATAGCTAAACGCCTTTAAGCAAAGATCTGAACACTGCCTGCTTGCGTGATATAATGCTCAGGCACGGCATAAACTGCGCGTCATCTCGAGTTTAATTTACTTTTTTTGTTAATTTGATGTTTGCGTTTACTTTTGTGAACACCAACAAAAATGAAAAATACGGTGACGCAACATAAACTATATACCGCAGACAATGCTATGAGGCATCAAAACCAATCCAGTGCTTTTACCCTAGCAAAATGATTTGTTGGCCTAGTTGGTTAAACATTACGAAAATTAAAAAAACTAGTCAAAAGGAGCATTGTGTCTAGTTGTTTGAGCGCTGCCCTGAAAAAGTCTTGCATTCATTCAGCAAGGGAAAGCTTTGACGCGCAAGTATCAAGGCTCAAGGCGTCAGGCTACCCCACCTCCATCCTGTCTGACGTTGTTGAATGCATGATAAAACCAAACAAAACAAGCAAGAGAAGTGGAGAAAGAAGAAGTCGACCTGCGGTCGTCCCTTATATACACCGCATCTCTCACAATTTCAAGAGAATCGCCTCTAAATACGAAGTGCCAGTTGTGTTTTCAGCCCCCGACAAGCTTAAAAAGCTCTGCCCCAAAGTCAACACCCCGCGCACAAAGCCTGACAAATGCGGTGTTAGGCGCTGCAACAAATACGTCAACTGTTGCAGCGGGGTAGTATATTTGATCCCGTTCACCTGTGGGAAGGTATATGTGGGACAGTCGGGAAGATGCATCAACGTAAGGCTCAGAGAACATGCGCTATCTTTAAAATCCTCTCCGTCGGGACATCTCGCTCTACATGTGAGGGACTGTAGATGCGCCCCGCTACTGTCCAGCACAAGGATCCTGAAGAGGCGTCCAGAAAAGCGAACTCGAGAAATCCTTGAGGCTGAAGTGATTGCGACCAAAGGAGATGCCTGCATCAGTGCTCCTTCGGTGACTTTATCATCAAAAGAATTAGAGTACATGAAATATTTTCCTTAGATATTCTTAATTTGTTTTACCTTCCTCTTTCTTTTTCTTAATATATTCACTGTCATTTCTTTCACGGTTACTTTAATCATGCCCACCATTTCCTATTGTTTTTACTAATTTTTTTCTTTTTTCTTTTTCAATTCTCAGTCTTTTTAGATCCTTTCACTCCTTTCTCATAAATATTTCTAACATTTAACGTTAGGGTTCTTCATCTTCCTCATCTTCCGAATTAAAACGTCAGTTGCAAGTAAGCGCTTGTCCTGTGTTGTCGCTCCCTCTTGTCCTTGTCTTTTGCGCTTTTTTAATTTTCGTAATAGCTTTTACCCTGCCACGTGACATCGTGCTTCCCCGTGCAGTTGTACCCAACGGGAAAGCCACATGACACACTTTTAGTGATGGACTGGCCAAGATAACTCGTAGCGTCGGCTGCGGTACAACACAAAGTGAAACGGAGTAGACAGGGTTTCCGCTTGGGCTTGGTGTTTTGTATTATCAACTGCATTGTTGCGGTCGTCATCTAGCCTATGTAGCCAGGTAGTCACAGTTTTCTTTGACCAGCAGGCGCGCGCACATTTTTATGTCTCCTCGAGGGCCTATAGAAACATAGGAACGTGTTGTGAGAATGTCGATGGGCGGCATGATGCAAAGGGATATAGAAACAACAATCAAGGTTACACAGGCTAACATCAATAGGATTTTGATGCACTTCGATGCACTTTGACATTGCAAGCGCCCTGCCCTCCTTCGCTACGGAGCAGGGGCTGTGTGCGGTCAACGGAATAGCTTAGTAGACGACGCTCCCACCAGAAAGGGCTTTGTGCGCACGCGCTTAATCTCTCCCGTGACGCCGCATTTTTCCGCAGCACAGCGCTGGCCGTTCCGGTGGTCGACGCTCGCTTGATATTAAAAAATTGGGCCACTGTACATGACATCAGAAACGACAGATCCCACCGACACATTCGCCATGCACATACAATGCTACCCAAAATGATTTAAAATTACAACACACACAAGGAGGAACCGTTGAAGGAGCCAATCCAAGCATAAAACCAGACCAATAATGGGCAAAACAAAAAATATTGCAGTCAGGGTGCATTTGTTCCTTTCTAAACTATGCAATCAGTACGTTCCAACCTCGAAGACATCCCGATTTGCCTAGAGCGTCTCAACCTAGGATAGTCTAACGATTGGTCCACTAACCACACATCCGGAATATGGCGCCTGTCTTCAAGTGCTCGCCCTTCCCCAAGCAGCTTATCACAACGTGGTAAACAAAATACGCCCTTCCAAAAACACGTGGCCGCATTCAACTTGCACTTTGTTTTGCAAAGGGGGGAGGAAACCAGTGAGCACAATGGAGAAAAATCTCTTCAAATGACACAAGGCAAAACGCGCTGTGTTCAGAGGTCTTGCATTGTCTGCCATCTTGCTTCCTCCCATCGTAGGGAACATCCCTTTGCTCGTGTTTCAAGCTTTTGTTGGGAGGCCTGGTAGGCCACTCTCGTCATCGTCGCTTGGAGAGACTTATATCGGCTGCCATGGAACGGGGCCATTGTGCCGCCAGGGGCGGACGCGAGAAAGCCGCACCAGTGATGCCGCGGTTTGCTTGTCGCCCACGTCAGAACATACCGTCGTGGATGCCGATGGGGATGAGGATCAGGAAGAAGATGGAGAGGTTGCGGACCATGTACCTCCAGTCGGCTGGAATGGCAAACACCACCAGCTTTCCCGTGAGCAGGTGGATCTCGTGCGAGATGCACACGAAGATGAAGGAGGTCACAATGACGTTCAGAACAGGGTAGCCTGGCACCAGGACTAGCACACCATGGGTGTCGGCCGCCAGCCAGATGTGGTATTGCGCGATGAACAGCTGCGGAGCAAACGACACAGGACTCTGCTGCAGGCTTCCAGATTGTATACAAACGAGGCTGTTTGGTTTGATCAACCACATGGCGCCATACTGCTTCTCCCTGTTGCCAGTCTTGGGTAGTAACGCGTTACTGTAATTTTATTACTTTTTGGCAACTTGTAACTGTAACGAATTACTTTTTTAAAATGTAACTTGTAACTGTAGTTCTATTACTTTTTTCTGAGGTAACGATGAAAGTACCGACGTTACTTTTGTCGTTACTCTCCAGTGTTTTGTGAATAATATATCACTGAACGAGTACAATTTAGATATTCCTTGCACTTTTCAAATCATCTATTCCGACATTTCGAGTGTCAAGTTGGCCTTGCACAAACTTGTGAATACTTTCTTTCTCACGAGTCACGACCTGAATATAGCCACGTGTAGATTTCATGAAAAAAAAATCTAGTTATCTTTACGCACGCACTTGTACTTTGTGACTGAACACTTACGTCTTAGTGTTTTGAAGCACTATCTATGTTGTGGCTTTTCTTTTTTCTGTGAAAGCGCTTTTTAATCCGGTGAATTAACCGTGAAACAACAATACACGCGGAGGGCACTGCGCATGTTTCGTATTTTGATTAGCGCCAGTACTCCGCACTGCGCATGTTTCGTATTTTGATTTGCGCCACTAGTCTGGCGTGGAAATTTTTCCAACACTAATTTCCAGAAGCAACTTCTGCTAAGTTACAATATAAAGTAAAAAGCATACTTTTTAATTTTATGCAAAAAAACTTGGTGAAAGGCATTTTCTGGTTTTTCCTCATTTTTTTGTTATAGAAAAGTAACTGAAAAGTAACGTTACTTTTTAAAAGTAACCGTAACAAGTTACTGTTTTGTTGCGGTAACTGTAACGGTAACTTCGCTACTTTTTTTCTGAAAGTAACTGTAACGAATTACTTTTTAAAAGTACCTTACCCAAGACTGCCTGTCGCAGTATTCCAATGCTATCTTTGCAATCAAAATTCTTTGTGTTCCCAAACCTCAGCATTTAGTTTTTGCAAGGTGGATACGGTAGTCACCATCTCGCTTGTTTCCTATAAAGTAACCATGTCGGCTAAACACTTCTTCATTTGCACTGCAACTTGCTCACATGCACTGCATTGGCTGTGCAACATGTTTGCGCCTTTTTGCTAAACAAGCCAACGAAGAATCATCTAAGACAAGAGACAACACAGACACACATTTCAACTAGCAATGACAATAAAAAATACTACCCCAAACGTGTTGATGAGCACGCAACCTAGATGATGAAAGACGGAAAGAGAGGAGGACAAGATGGGAATTTAAAGCAACTGAAGTATCAAGAATTCAAACTTGGTCAGGACCAGTGACAGAGCAGGAGGGTTGCTGCGCACCCCTTCCAAGGCAAATGATGGTTTCTCTCCCAAACCTGTGTCTACCCCAAATTCTGGTCTCCCAGGGAGAGCAGACACTGCAATTGCGGGCACGGACAACAATGGAATGAATGATCAGAGGTCCGAGAAACTTGCAAGTGATGCTCACCAAGTCCATGGGTGATACACCTTCCAGTGTAGCCTATGTGCTGATACCTGCAGCTAGAGGGTATCGAATGCACCTTCTTCACACAGAATGAACTTGTTGGCGTGTTTGACGGTGTTTGGGCTCTGGCTACTCGTTGGTACAGCTGCTTGAGGTTCACACCAGAGGAGAAAGCTACGTTTCACTCCTTCAACGTACCTGCACTTTTCAATGCCACTTACTTCCCTTTTTTCCCAAAGGCTTTCAAACTCACTTCTAAGTACCCTTGAGATCTACCTAGAGGTGACGCTACTGTCGTGCTATCATCATCATCAAAGTGGGGATAGAAGCATGGTCGCCCCATAGGCTCTCCATGTTTGCGCGTGAGACGGTGTCGATTCTTGCGTTTATTTTGTTGCACACTATCGGCGGGAAAACAATTTTAGTGGAAAATGGTGTGGTACCGTTCAGAGCTTCAGTGAAGATCAAATCGTGTTACCAGCGTACGGTCTATATTTTAAATAACTGCTCGTGAGGATGCGTCGTCTACTCTAGGCAGACGTTGGGAAGCATGGATCACCACGACGGATGCCTGTCTCCGGATGAACTGCACTATTTATGTTAAATATTTGTTTATTATAAAATATATGTATCGGTTCACCAGCGTGGGAATTCAACAAATAATGAATTCCAACCAGGATAACATCATATGGTTACTGTGGACTGTAAAATCGCAGGTTCTATGTATTTTTTGCTTTTGCAACTTTTAGCTTTTGCAGTAATATAAATATTTATCATGAAGAGAAGTTAGTGCTCTATCGGAAATTACCGTGCTATTGAGTTCCGCTGCAGCCAATGTTTCCCTTTACTGTGCCGTGGTGTGGGCAAGTTTTTCGGAGTCGGAACAATTCTACTATGTTGCGATGAGGAGAGAGCGCCTCTTCTTGTTACTACCCGGAAACTGATCGTTGGCAGGACAACCAAAATAAGTGAAACAAACTATGCTAATATATCTGCCGCCAGTGGAACAAACGGGTGTAACTGAGCAACGCAGTAGTGTGCGTGTTATTAGATGCTCTTCTCGGTGGTCTAGGTTCACCCGCTTTAATTTTTTCAGTGAGGGCCGCAGATGTCAAAAGGCTAATATTATAAATTTCTGGCTAAATAATCTTCTATTCAAACAAAGCAGACTCTACAACTCCAACAAACGACCACGACACAGACAACATTGACCGCAGCGAGGGCTAGCGACTCTCACGAGATTTCCGATCACCCGCCGCCCTCACCTAACGCATATCGGGACTGGGCAGTTCATCGATTAACCTTTAGATAATTCGAGTGGTGCTTTCATTGCGATATTTGTTTTTGCCTTCTGGAGAAAGTCAGGAAAATGTTTAAAAATGCCTGCTATGTGTCTAACAAACATGTCCAACTAAGACTCGTTTCAAAGAGATTGCGCCGCAGAATACAATTCAATTCAATACATTTCTCATGTCTTTATTTTTTTAGGACACATCCTTGCATGGCAAGCCTAAAGTCCCTTACTACTTCTTTTACAAGTAAGGACAACCAATACAAATGACAGAGCACATTCCGCTGGAACAAAATGGCAACATTCAGTTCAAACCTCTCTGCGCACCGCCATTTGCTCCCTAAAACCTGCACCGTCACTGCAGTCGGCGCTTCAAACAATATCGCTACTTGTAGGAAGCTTTTTATCTAGGAACTTTAGGCGAACCACTTCAGCATTCTAGTGATTGTCATTGAGGGTGATTATGCTGTTTAAATAATAACTTAAAGATGTCTTCACTTTAAAAGGCTTTCCCGTGTTCATATTTCTGTATGCGTCACAAAATGAAGTTTAAAATGGGATGCAATACTCCATTTATGACATAGTAAAAAAAAAGTAGTTTTAACGACTCATGCATCGACCGGTAAAAAATCAACTAACAAATTTATGAATCGATTAGTATATTAAAGCGTAGCGATCAGTCGGATGAGTTTTTAAATCAAACCACTGCTCCAATCAACATTCAACGTTTTATGAAAGCTATGGTTTGTGCGAGATAACAAAAATATGTGGGACCATCGGTTGTATACAAACCACAACACTAAGATGATGGAAGCCTCTGACGTAATAATAATCGCTTTGCTGAATTTCCACGCATGTGAAACGATACAACATAACCATCAGTAGAAACAAGCGTTTAATGAGAAGGGCTCAGCTCAGCTAGAAACAGGCTTGGGTCGTCGAGATCCACTTTTTAGGGAGACCAGAATTTAAAAAAAAAAAAATGGGTACTTGCACTAGTGTTTTTTTATTTCTTGGGCTACGTTGGGGGATATACTAAAAAAGAGTCCATATGGGCTAGTTAACTAATTGACTAAAAGGTTTTGACTAACTTTTTAAATTTTCAGTTTTTGGGGCACAATGTACAGTTCGAGAATAGGCACTCCACCTCGAGTAGTTTAGGCGTGATATGACATTTTCTTTTAAAAACGTGTCGTCGGCACCATAGGTCGACAAAATGTAATCCTTGTCCACGACTTGAAATCGAAAGTCAGCTGGCAAAGCATGCTTATGACAAGGATCCCTCCACCCTGGGCATGCTCCACAATCCATGCATCCGAGCTGCAGGTGAAGTCAGCAGTGCAATGCAAGCGCAGAGTGGAGGGATCCACGTCAGGGGCATGCTTTGTTGGCTCAGTATCGGTTTCAAGCCGAGTAAAAGGATCCTATTTCTAGCTCCGTAGTAACCACAAATTTTTAAATAAAAATTTCACTTCACAGCTAGGCTAGAAGAAGCATTAAGGGAGGAGGTGGGGAATAAATATGAACTTTCTTATTTCTAGAGATATCTGAACGAAATTTACAGGGTGTATTTATAGCACAGACATAAGAGTAACTGCAAAGTTTCATGGAGCTGTGCATATTATTTCTCAAGTTACAAATATTTATCAAAATTGTCCATATGCATTCCTTATCCCAGGTCTGGAGAATTTGAAAAAGGTAGTAGCGACGTAAAATTTGTTATGATGACCCCTGGATAGGTTCCCCAGGGCATAACAGAGCCCTTTTTTAAAAATTTTTTGCTGAAAGATTTTAACGCAACTTTGAATTTTGTGTAATCAATGAAACCCACATTCATCAAATTTAATTTTTTTATTATAAATTTTTAGCATAGTTTTCTAGAAAAAGGGCTCTGTTATGCCCTCACAAAGTTATTAGAGAACAGAATAAAAAAGACAGCACAAAAATCCATTCATCAGTTCCTGAGATATCGCTGGGACAAGCAGCCACGGCAGTGAAAAAATCCATTCTGAGAAAACAGCACTTGAAAGTTGCACACAGATTTTTAGCTTTAGAATGACCCTGCAGAATAGTCAGAAGTGTTCTTGCGCACTTTCTTCTTGTTCCGCCTTTCCAACTTGTCTTGATGTCGTTTGCTGGCCTTGTGCAGACGTAGGGCATCTTTCTTGGCAGCTCGTTGGAGGGCTAGATGGGCCGGCTGAAGTCCCACTGCAACCGATATTTCTGCAGTTGCCTTGTAGCAGCCGGCGTTGAACCTCAACACCGCTTCATGCAGTGCAGTTTCGACAGCGATCAGCGATGCATGCTGTTCCTTAGGCATCAAAGACCACAGGACAGAGTGGAAAGACTCAGATGCATTCTGAGTCTTTGCTCCCAAGCAGCGTTGAAGCAGAGAAACCTGCGACAGGCGTTGGTAGACGGGCAGCATAGCTGCAGCGACGTAGGCTGGGAGTTTGTGCTTGTGCTGGGGCTGTGGCTCACCTTTTGCCTTGGCAACTCTATAACGGCACCACGATTGAGCTCCCTCCGGACAGAGTTCATGGTGAGGCTCCTGGTCAGTCGACGTGACATGATGGTAGGTGGCCATAACAGCACGCTGCATCGCTGCCACGTCCTTGGAGTTGTTTCGGAGGGCCCAGCCATAGTAGTCGGTAAGCTTGTCGATAAGGGCCTTCGTCAACCTGCCCTTGCCGCTCAACGGCTTGTCGCTCTTCTGGACAAGGTTGCGCAGTGCCGTTCCCATTCTCTTCTGAACGTGGTTCAAACACTCTTCCTTCACGATGGGGACTAGCCCGTAAACGTTCTCTTCTGTAAGGGCAGAGAAGGTCCTGCTGTCCCCGTCGGAGACAAGTGCTGTATACCGCAGGTCGTGCTTGGAGACAGAGCGCTTGAAGAGGGTCAGGGCCGCCTCGACCTCCATCCTCCCAGATTTGGCGTCCGTGTTTTTCTGGCAGACATGATGCATGTGCCAGCTGTCGTACCCTTGATCTCCAGGCTTGGGTCCTGTTTGGCACCCAAGGCACAGGTTGGATAAAACCACGGCGTCCAAGATGAGGCCTGTGTGGTATTCTATGACTGACCCGACTTTGATGTGAGATGTGTGCCCTCTCTTGTGCCATGTGCCGTCATACACCACGGTGACATCCTTGCAGAACCCCGGGTCCATCTTCTTACAGGCTGTCTTCACCGCGACAGCTGACTCGGCATAAAACTTTTCCACGCACAGGGCCTCTGGCTCTCTGAAGGTCTTCTTCAGGTGCTCTTGGAACGTTTTGTGGTGGAGACCTCTGTGGGAGACGTTCATAGCTGCCCAAAAGTCATTGAGAGCTGTCTGCCCCTTTCCTATCTGCTTGATTGCCATGATGGAGCGGATGTTGACTTCAAAGGCCCTCGAGTCTTGCTGGCGTGGCGAAGTCCAGGAACTTGCAATAATGCCGCAATGGGGGCATACAACCTCGAGTTTTGCTGCCAGTCCGAGTTTGGTGCCTTCTTGGACAGTCAATCCAGTCCCCGAGCAATGCTTGCACACTGTGCAGCAGAGCAGGTTGCTCAAAACGTCGATCTGAACAAGGCAGAACTTCTCACCTTGGCTTGTAGCAGAGGCAGGCGTGGGATCGGGCAGCATGGCTTCAAACTTCCTCTGGGTTGCTGGCATAGCTCCAAGTTTGGCTTGAACGGTATCACGATGTCTAGCTCCTGCTTCGATCTCCTCACGTGTCAGGAAATGTGTCCGCAGATGGGTGCTGGAAGACGCGCTCCCACTTGTCGCGGCAGGCGGAAGACGGGCGCTGGGACCCGCGATCTCGGGAGGAACCACAACGGTCGGCATGCTCGGTACTCCAGACGTGAGTGGGGCGATGCGTTCTTCCTCGACGACAGCCGATGGCACAGAAAATCCATCACTTGAAGTGTTGACGCGATCATCATTGACGGCACGCCGTGCAGAAACTTCCAACTTCGCCATCCGCACTAACTTCATGGACCGCTTCCGCGCGCCAAACGCGCGCACCGTCTTGTACTTCGAACCCCGCATCGTGTGCGACCACGAAACAGACGGGCACGCTACACGAAACTACTCAAAGAAAGTTCGGAAAACGATCGTAAAGATGGCGAAAAACGAAGCGGAGCTGACAAAGCAAGAGCGTGTGCAAGCAGACCACTACCAAAAGCAGACGACGCGAGCGGCAACAGCAGGAGAAACGGAAGAGGAGGAGAGCGCTCCGCGCGCGGAGAAATCGCGTCCCAGCCAATAGCAGTCGCGCGCTCCCCCGCACGCTCCTCCAGCGCGCGCTCTGTCCAATCGCGTTCTTGCGATTGCGACATGGAAGAACGGCGACCACGCCGAAACCACGCGGCCGACGCCATTTTGGGAGCTGGCAAAAAAAGAGAAAGAATTCACGTTCAAAACAAGACTAAGATGGCGGCTGTCGGCCGAACGCGTCGGAAATGGCGAGCGCGCGAAGTTGGGGTTGATTTTGACGTTTGACCGTCGCTTGGATGCTACTCAGGCCTCGTAAATAATTGTTTTTAAATATTTCCCCGTTGTATTTGGTGCTGATAATTACAAAGAAGGTAGTTTATGAGATATACAACCGAAAAATAAGGTTTTCTAAAAATCGACTTTTTCGCGATTTTTCGGTTTTCAAAGCCCGCGTCCTCCCTTAAAGAGGCAATTTGGGCTAGTTGGTTCATAATCAAGTAGGTAAGCGTCAAAAAAACACAGGGACAATGAAGTAGACAGACAGGGGGCGCCCCCTGTCTCTCTACTTCATTGTTCCCGTGGTTTTTTGGCGCTTACCTACTTGGCTATAATGAATTCGAGTGCCAATTCTCCAACTACATTATGCCCCAAAAAGTGAAAATTAAGAAAGTTAATTGAACCTTCTTAGTTAATTAGCTAACCAATTAAGGGGGGACACTACCCAAAAAAGTGAATGTTTGAACCACTTGTCTGATCTAAATGTCATTTACAAGGCTTGTTTCTATTAATATTGAGAAAATTTCTGCCAAATTTTGTTAACCTGGGTGAAGTACAAAAAAAAAATGCAAATGTTCAAAGATGAAAGTGGGCATGTTCGCATAGGAAAACTAGTTTTGAAATTATTTATAAATTTGTCATTTTCATGTGTTATATTGCTTTAGGACAGTTCAGAGCAGATAGCTATGGAACTATATTTCTACATTATACCATCTTTCATGACAAAAAAGCCATATAAACAAATACCATTTTTTAGATTTCCATCCTTTGTCCAAAATTTTAGTCCTTGAGCATGAAAAATGACAAAAATAAAAAATACAAGCTCATAGCTATCTTCCCCTTCAAATTTTACCCCAGAAAAACTTAAAAATGATTCCAAGTCTTATAATAACAAAATGATAGATTTCCTAAAGTGAAATTTATGCCGAAAAGTGGAGCAGAGAAAAATGCATTCAAAGTGCTCCAACCTTTCTTTACCTTTTCTTTAGCACTGGTGGACCGAAAATACTTTATAAATAATTAACTATGCAGTGTAAACTAATGAAACCTTCTGGGAATACTCTAGAGTCTAGATCAGGGGTGGCCAAGCTGCGGCTCTTTGCGTGTTCAAGTGCAGCTCACAGCTCCCTCGCCTGCCCCTCCCTCCCCTCCTGGTCACACTTCCCCAGAAAGAGAAATGGAACGCGTTTTAAATCGAAACAGAGGTTGCGGTTTGGCGGTTTGGTAGTCTCGTGCTACTGCTACCTTACGTACTGTTGGACTGTTCTTGCCTCCGATAGATTGAAAGCAGTTCGAGTTTGGTTTATTGCTCTGGGCAAAAGCCTCCCCCCCCGCGGCTCTCGGAAGTTTCGTGGTTTTGTTTGTGGCTCTTAGGCCGGGTCAGCCTGGCCACCCCTGGTCTAGATGTTGGTGGATGTAAATATATGACATTTTTCAAACTCAACTTTTCTTGCAGAAATAGTTTTTTCTGGGTAGTGTCCGCTCTTAAGCAATTTGATTTTTTTCTAGTGGCCCCCGTGGCCACCACTTAGCCAGGGCTAAAAAGAACACCTTTTTTAAAAATTTTGGTTTTAGTAAAAAAGAAACCCTGCAATAGTGAGTGAGAGTGTTGTTGACAAGGGAAAACGAGTCCGGTCAATGCCAGGGAAAAGAGAGCCCAAAAAGCTAGATGGCTCCCTATCACTTTTGAGATCAAGAAATGGAGCCTTACTCACTAGCCTTCCATTGAAGCTATAAAAGTTGCCCCCCCCATCCCTCGTTGGGTGTGGTCCCCCACACGAGGCCTCATGTTTGACCTCATTGCCAAGGTACTTACCTCCAGCGAGATCTTGCCAAACCAGGCAAAGAAGGTGCTGTACCTGGTCCTCAGCAGGCCACTGATGTTCCGCAGGATAATGTATGAAATGATCTGTAACGCGAGCAACTTCAATAGACAGCCATCGTCAAGGGGGGGGCACTGGACGTCCACTTACTGGCACAAACGAGACGTAGGCATGAATCTCGTTACAGTCTGGTTTAGCTCGACAAACCAAGGCAAACGTTGTGTAAAACTGAAACGCCAAAAGCACACCATGAGCAACAGCAGTACAAGAGCTGCCATTTTCTTCATCACCATAGCAATATGGATAAATTACGAAAACTGAAGCTCGAAATACAGGTACGCATATTTGAGGCACTGATATAATAAATAGAGATGTGCCGTAGAATAGCCAGCATGCGCCCATGTCACAATAAGTGCCCACCCAAAAACTTTTCAAATGTTTGAAAACTAAGCAAAGGATGTGCACCCACCCAGACTTCTGACCCCACCTAGCTAACCGATACGCTCCTCCTTGTCAGCCGCTTCTCCAAGCCCCTCGGTGCAAAGCAATGAAACCGACACTATCATGTGCCCCGTTTGCATTTTGACCCATCACTTAGTTCTTCAAGAGTATCTCAAAAGTTTGGGTAGGCACCTCCTCTATTTTATGGTAGCAGATATTTTTTTGCCAACTGATTTCACTCCAGAAGGTTAGACTGTAATATTACTACTAGTAGTACAAGTAGTAATAATAATACCAGTGATGGAAGCGGCATTTGATCTTTTGTAGCAGATGCCAACATCTGTTAGCACATGACTTGAGAATAAAAAAGGGATTGCTTCTTTAAATGAGTTCATTTATGATAGTGATCGAGGGTTCCTCTTTGATACCTCATGATATTACTTAATATTGTTTGTGATAAGAATAGAAAGGACGTAAAAGGAACACAGTCTTCTTAAATAAGGCTCTAGTCAGAGTAGGCTTCATTTACAATGGGTATTAAAAAATGGTTGAAAAGTGAATCATACAACACTTAATTGGGATAAATCCTCTCGCCCCCCTTTTTTCCACTCGGTAGTTTATTTTTAGCCTGCAAATATAATTTCTGTAAAATAACAGCAAGAACCAGCATACCTGCTAAAACGACTACCAATAAAAATTGGTAGAATCGAGACTTTAATATCGTAAACTGCAAAAACAGCCACCCAAAAATATGATAAAAGCCTACACTTGTGCTTTAAAGGTGACACTGCTCTTTAGCGGCGTAGGAACCAGAGTTAGAGCAAGTCCGCTGCTCCTTCGATTGACAGCTGCACGGGAACTACCGTGACTACTGTATTCAAATATACAGGGTGTTTCACGTAAGAGTGACAAAAATTCCTAAAATTAGTGCATTCGAGAATAATTTTCTCGGGACCTCATCACTCGTGGTGGTGGACGTCAGAAAATGTAATACTTACTAATTAGTTTGCTAATTATTTGAAAATGACTAATTAACTTTCTAATTAGCAAAAATAGACATGTGGTTCCAATTAGAAACTTGCTGGTCGTCATCGAAGACTCCTAAATCAGTAAGATTTTCTTAGACTAGAAGTGCAGTAGTGCGCTCAAGTTCATGCCACAGGAGCAAGGCTACCAGTGCGATCAGGTGCCCGCCCAATTTTTGTGTCTCTCTTATTATAGCCCCAGCCTTGTACATGCTGCAAGAGTGGCATCTGTAGTGCACTACTACTTTTCCCACGCGCTCAAAGGATTGCTAAAAATGATTGATTTATTGGTTTTCAATAAGGCTCAGCAAGTTTCTAATTGGAATCATATGTCTATTTTCACGAATTAAAAAGGTGGTTAAAAAATTTTACTTAATTAACCAACTGATCATTGTGATTAGCCCCATATACCATGTCTCCCTGGCCGTATAACTCACCCGCAGAAACCGCATAAGTAAAGCTTACACAGCCTTTTTTAAAAAAAAAAAATTAAGCGCCACTTTAAGGAAGAAAAACACCCTGTACAGATTTGTGTTTTCTTTTTCTCTGCTCAGATTTTTTTTTTTTCTTAAATTAGGGTTTAACTTACAATTAGAACAAAGAACGTCAACCTGTAAAAATCCTGACCATAATTTGCGTGCCTATCGCGCTAAGTCAAGCGCACCCCCTGGTCAGCCGTTGCTCCTAGTACTCCGGTGCAAAGCGGTGAAGCCAGACGTGCGCACTCCTACTATTTTGCAAAGTTTTCTCAGGACCCTTAGTTCCTGACATCGACGAGTGTCTGGAAATTTAGACAATATCGGCAATCAACCAGCCAGCGCATCAACCGGCCAGAGCGGTTGATGCCCGAGATCACTGGCTCTGGTCGGTTGATTTGCAATATCAAAGCGCGACGTCATGGCATTCGTCATCTCCTTGTACGTGTTCTTTCATCGGCTAAACCAACCAAGTGCAACAAATGTTTCGTGACTTGCGCTTTTAGTATGTGCATTTGTGGCTGTACGTGTTCGAGCCTTCGACTGTGCTCTGACCTAAGACAAAACAAACTATACGGCGAGTAGAGACGCTGTGAAATTCCTATTTGTACAATTTTTCTTTCCTTCTACTTCTCCGAATATTCAACCAATAATAAAATATTAATTTTTTTGCCCATCTCGGCGCAGGTGTGGAGCAACTCTTGTAGCAAAAATGGCATTTTGACGCAAGATGTAGCAGACTTTTGTTCATGGCGCAAATGGCGCAGCACTTCCATCACTGCAATACTATATTGATTAATGCCTTCATCTTTGATTTTAAAGTCTTTAACCTAAGAACAATCAACAGGTGTGAACATTTTTTTCTACATCCACTACAGAGTGCAATAAGCCTGCATCCAACTGACGGCACCTGAGCCAGGATTCAGACCGGCTAACCGGGGATCCATTGGCAGTGGCATACCAACTTGTTTTTGAGTGGGGGGGGGGGGAAACGAGACAACCCCCCCCCCCCCCTTCCCCGGGCCGGGCGGCGGTGTCCTTGGTACCCCTCAGGCGCCACCGGCCAGTGTTTGCCCTGCCCAGTGGCGGCTGTTTCAGGGGGGGGGGGGGGGGGGCAAAACACATACCTTGCCCCCCCCCCCCCTCCCCCCCGCTCTGAGAGCTGGGGGGGCAAGCACGCCCTTTGCCCCCTTGGTTGGTGCGCCCCTGTCCATTGGCTAGGGCACCCCCTTGGAAAGGTAAAGCTGGTCAGAAAGAGTAGGGTCGAGCCCAGCACTTGCCCCGAGGCCCAGCAAAGAGCCCAGTGTGACGGTGAGCGAGAGACCCCTCGAAAACAGGTTTCCATGGTGATTGTCGTCGACTACCCTGTACTGCTTCAGCAGGTAGTGGGCAAATGCAAACAGCATGCCACTCGCCACACTCTGGGGGGTGAGAAAAGAGAACACTGGCTGCACTTTCCAACCACATCGAGCATGTGCTTAACACTTTCAGGACACATCCTCCTAACTTGTTGCATAAATCAGCTGGACCACAGACAATCAAGACTGAAAAAGCACTTTTCTACAATAGGCACACCTGCCACCACACCAGGCCTAACATTTTCATCCTCTTCTTGCGTTTATACACCTTTCCAAGAAACGGCCCCAGGGGCCAGATAACATTTCTGGAGCTCACTCACTAGGTTTGCCTCTCACCGGCGTCCCCGCTAACCCTAACCGAGGGAACTTGAGATTTCAATAAGTGCAGCTTGCATAGGCACCATTTCACGCTGCTGGCAGCTAAATTATTGCATTTTCCTGCTGTCTTTTTGCGTTTTATGATGTATATACTTTCCTGGGGACATTTAGAAAACATTGTATGACATTGGAAACTAAAATCAAACTAAGTTATTTTTGTTGTGTGTTTGCGCAACAGAACGAATGCGACTGGAATGTTTGTTTTATTTCACGGTGAGATTTGACTGCGCTGCCCACTCAGCCGTGTCGATCGACAAAGCGCTTAGACATACAAAATAATTTACAACAGAATATAGACGAAAGGCATGCAGATTGCTTGCACACAAATAACATGACTATTGGACTTACAGGAGTTGGACATGAAATTCAGCGAGTGTCAAGATTCGAGCATCAAATTGTATGTACCACAGGGTGCTGCATCATTCAAAAAAGGGATTATTTGAGAAAGATCTCAAATAACACTTAACATCCAGTTCAGAGTGTCAACGACAGTCACCTCTTGACGATCGGACAGGGTCAAAGAGGACCTCCTTTAGGGCCACGTTTTGGAGACAGCTTCCTTTTTTTCACAGCACCACGACAAAGGAATTGACGTGACTGACCTATTCCCCACCCCAAACCGAACAGCTATTTTTGGAAAAGACTGAGGACTTTCTGGGGATCATCTCTGGAAGTCTAAAGAAGAGTTGCCATTGTTCGAAACCTTGCGTAGAGGGCCGTTCGACCTTCTTCTCTTCCTTCATTTCCCGTGAATGTCGAGCAGAAACGCTTCAATGGAAGGCACTTAGGCTATCAATCCTAGTTCTCTCAGTGGAAGATAACACAAAAAGGGGTATGCAGCATGTAGAAGAAAACTAGAAACTTTAAAGAGGGGCCGGAAAACCTGAAATGCAGAACCGCAAAACATGGGTGGAGAATCGCGCTGAGCAGGTTTGTGGCAGAAAATTTATGGCCGATAGGAGGCGCAAGAGTGGCACCAGTTGCATCATCATCAGCAACATGGCTGCGGTCTAGGTGCGTTTTTGGAAAGGAGTATAAGCAGTGCCCCACATTCCCATGGAATCCCTTTTATTATCAGACATTTCAATAAAGTCCAGCCTCATACTGGAAAGTTTGCAACTGAAATCAAGTTTTCTGAGGCAGGTGTTTTGGTGTGCAACAAGAGACAGCTGGCTTTCAATGACTGGACCAGGCCCACATACTTTCTATACTGCGTCACCATCTGCTTAAACAAATAATCTAGTTGACTAAGAATTGTTCACAATTTGTGGAGACTTTATTGCATACTAAACTGTTTGCATACCAAAGTGTGTTGATTCGAGACATTATGTGTCTGTGTCAAGTCAGATATTTTCATCATGCAATACCCCAATCCAACACTCATGAGGCCCATCAAATCAACAAACAAGCGAGTAATTTGTAACATACGTATCGGTCAATTTTCCATCGGAACCACCACTCTTTGATGGAATCATCCGTCGTGACGAACAGCGCTTTCCATGGGCGAGTGACGAAAATTTTTTCGAAGAAGACCTTTAAATGAACACGCAGTCATGTCAGATTCAAGGTTAATTGGTTGCAAAGGGTTAATAAAAAAAAAAAAAATATATCTATATATATATCTCACCTCAGACATGTACAATATGGTAACAACCGAAAAGAGGCCCACAAACTTGAGAACTATGTATAAGTACTGCAGGGGGTTTGCTGAAAGGCAGAGTGGAGATATCAGGGGTGAGACAGGTGAAATAGGTTTTGGAGCAATTTTTGGAGCAGAAAAATCTGGATTTTGGAGCAGCTTAGGAGCACAAAATTCTTGTTTTTGAGCAGCAGTTTATGCATTTTGGAGCGACTTCGAAGCACAAAAGTCTACAGTTTGGAGCAGATAATGTTAGAGCAGTTTATCAGCAATTTAAATCACAAAAAATCTGATATAAATCACATAAATCAGATTGTTCTTTTTGAATCATTAATTTTGTACACCCTGGTTCAAATAGGTCATCAGCGCCGATACGCACCAAGATAAAATATAAAAGAAAAAAAAACAAAAAACAAAAAAAACGGAAAAGGTGAACGCGAGTTTCATGCGCATAGATGAGGACAAGAAACACAGGCTTGCTGCAAAGTTAGGTGAGCACCAGGTACCTCAAGCTTATACGAACTGGTGCCAAAGCGCACTGTAGTGAAGAACTTTTTAAAGTGGCGATTCGAGAGCATGGACAGGGAAGCACAGTTTACTACAACCACAAATCTATCGGATGCTCGTAGAAAGCACGTGCAGATAGAAAAAATCTCCCCACAAAAGTGAGTCACAAGGTAAATACAGTAAAAAGTTGAAGGAGCAGTCGTAATTATTTCGTTATAACCATTAGTTTGTTATAGCCACTGTCATTTCTTCCCACTATTAGCAAGCAAAGGGAATTATGACTGCTTTGTTACATCCATTAGTTTGTTATATCCCATTTTGTTATAAAGAGGTTTTACTGTAGTGAATTGGTAGAAAAACTATGAGCACCACATGCACGCTAAATACGAGTGTGTGACCGATCCATTCGATTGCTCACGCACTGGAAGCACGTGTGATAATCAAAAGTAGTCACGGTGAGGGCACCGTCCATTGTGACGAGATTACGGACACGGATGAACAATTACACAATGGAGGTGCTCAATAGAACTTCTAAGAAAAGGTTTACTCTCAAAACGAAAGCAATACTTAGGTTTGCTCGTCTTGATAGCCTGTGCGTCGTACCTCCCGCGGCCAGACAGCGAGACCGCGTGACAGCGCACCGTTAGCAAGCAGTCACAAATGGCAGCGTCAGGCAAAGACCACGTATCATAGGTATAGAAGGGTCCTACAGCTGAAATCTTTGAATCTGGCAGTTGCTTGCGCCACCGTGTAACCGTGCCGTGTACTTTACTACAACGACATTGAATGTTGCCAACCAAGCTCTCATTTGCCGCTAAATCTAGCGTCGCAGCAAACTTTTTTTTTTTTTTTTTTAGTTTTTGAGTTACTTTGGCGCAGTGTGGCGCAATTTCGACCGATTTCGCGCTTTTGGCACAACTGGGCGCAGAATAGCGAGTTTGTTTCAAAATGGCGCAATTGGCGCAGATGTCGCACCCCTGAGATATGCACCTTTAGTCATGCTACATAAAAAGGGAGTAGGGAGGGGGCAGGAACTCTGTGGAGCTGCGTTCACTCCAGTCTCTGAACCTCTGAGCCTGACATAGTGGCTTCACAGCCAGATTGTGAGTGGACTCTGCAATAATAGTATTGGAGGAAACTACCTTGCCATGAAGCATTCTCCCGTACAAGTTAAAACTAGGTATTTCTTTCTCAAATATCGGTGTATTCCCACAATTTATTCTGTACGGACGTTAAGAACGAGGGAAAAATTAATAAAAAACAAAGAGTTAAAATTTATTTTACAATCTGTTTATGCCCTTATAAAGCTTGACACTTATCATAATGCAACAGTACTTACAAACCACGGACGATCTATGGGCTATAAACTCTGAGTGTTCTTTAACATACCCATCCAAAGCTTTTTCGTTTTCTCTGAATCTTTCTAACCTTCCGCTCCCTGTGATGACGGAAATTAAATTGTTCTCAAGCAAACTCTTTCTGCTACGAAGAAACCAAGTTGATCATGCATTTTTTGCAAGATTCAACTGATAACTATTGCCAGTGTAGTTTCAGGCACTTTCGACCAGCTCTTACTTGAATATAACAACGATATTGTGAGAATCTGTGGTGACCGACAAAGTTACCCAACTCTCTTATTGTCGTCCAAAGCCAGTGGTTCCACTTCTTCGGGACTGGCAAGGTGCTCATTTCCAGGTAAGAGTATATGCCAGATTAACGTCTGAGGGAGTGTTTCGACAAAAACCAGTCCTCGCTTAGACAAAACATTTCTAGAAATTGTCCTTCGGTTTTAATCAACTTTGGGTGTTTCCACGTCAGATCGTACAATGATGGTCCGGGTCATATTTTCTGTGTTTATGTAAAAAATACATGTGAAAGCCATGCTCTTGGGACGAGCATTCAGCTACATGCAAACACCGTAGCCAATTTTCTTTTAAATATATAAAATTTTGAAGCTCGATGCGTGGTACTTTGCACAGCTGTCAATTTCACACTGAAGCATGCACATAGTAGTAATCATTTTTCTACTTGTTTTATTAAATGTTTACGACATGTAAACAAAATATTAAAAATTACAAAAAAAAGCTTTATGCAAAAAAAAAAAAAAAAAAAGACAACACACGTCAAATAAACAAGTTTTAGAGACAGATTCACAAATTATTTACAAGCAAACTACTTCATACAAAATGAGTCAAAATATATCAAAATTATCATCTTTAAAAGCATTTTATGAATATATAGGAACAATATACATGGCTATTATTGCAGTTATGTTATTAATGCAGAAACGCAGCTCATTTCTCTTAACGTGGCAAAATTGCACATCAATATTTAAGAAACTCCGGCGAGTTTTCGAGCAACCCCTAACTATGTTTTCGGAATCACCAGCCTTTATCCTTTGCAAAATGCTATTTAGTACCGCGAAATTCAGAATAGTAGTTATTTTGAAATGCTTTTCAGTGCCGTGACATCAGGGGAAGGCAGGCTTGCAAGTCTAGTGGGCAGTCTAGAAATGGACTATGCCAAGCATCTGTTTCATGCTGCTGTGCAGATGCTGGAGCGAGCTTCCAAAGCATTCATTTGACACAATGAAACTGCTTATGATCAGTCGGGAACAATGTCTGCAGTCGAAAGAGTGAGCCGCTGCTTTCTCCCGACGTCACTTTTTCATTGTTGCCAGCAGACCTTCACTTTGAAAAATACGGTGAGGACCAAAATTTTAAATTCAATAACTTTGTGAGAAAAACATTTTTTGGCCCAATATTTGGGTTACTATTTCAGTGATTTTTGTTGGCATGTTTAGCAAATTTTCAGGCAAATTGGTGAATATGAAGAAATTGCCAGAGTACCCCTTTCAGCATATACAGTGATTTGAACTAACTTGTGATGACGAAACATTGAGTAGTAACATACAACCTCCTTAAAAGAAAAACGACAACAAACCTTTCAAAACCGAAACTGAGCTAGCTTGTCTTCGCTATAGGGGTTTTGCCGCATGATGTCAGCTCCAAGGAGCCTTTTCTAAGACCAACAAAGGCTGTACAGCAATGCTGCTCTATCGTAGGGCGTAAAAGAAATTTAGACGTTTACAAATCCCTGTATTGCGAAATTAGAGCGCAGCTCTTAAAGGGGTTATGACACGAAAATTAAACGGATAGATTATTCTTGAAATGGAATGCTCAAAGGCTACTTAGTATATACACCAAGTTACGCAATTTTTAGAGCGCTGATAATTGTAATATTCAATTTACGAATTTTTATAATTTTCATCTGGCGACCAGGCAACACTGCTCAAGTTAGTCACACCATGGTGTCCATAAACCACTTGACCATGAGCACTCTCTCATTCTAGGCGCCCCCATGATCGCCCAAGCTCTTCTCGTCGCGGTACGAACAAAACCGCTCAAACAGCTCGGTAAACTGAAAGCTATTCTCGCTCTCGCCCCCCGGCCGGTTGACCTTCCAGCCTGCATGCGCCTGGGAGACATTCCCGAACGACGGTGTCCACGGCAAAATCGTCGTCGCTGGAACTCGTCGCCAGCGGGTCGCAGTCAAAATGAACAGCTTCCAACATCTCTTGATAGCAATCACTCTCATCGCTGCTGCGATCAATGTCGAACACTTCGACAAGGCGATCGATGCCGTAGACGTAATCGTCACAGACCGGATGCTGGAAATGTGGAAGGTAAACGAGGAAGCTGAGGCTCGATACGCCAAGAGAGCCAAGTCTGTGAGAGCGTGCAATTAGACACCACGCTGGAGGCTGGCTACGTCATCAGCCTCCAGGTCCGCCCGGATCTGCCCCTCCGAGGGGCCCGCATATAAATCGATTTATCCACGAAACTATCGCGCCTTTTTCAAAACAAATTTAGCAGGATTATAGGAACATACAATGGGTCCTAGCAGTATAGTTATGTAATATTTTATTTTTGGCGTGTCATAACCCCTTTAAGATCCCCCCTCCTCCTCCCCACCTCCTCCATAACCTCTCCTCCTTCCACAGTTTCCCCACTAAATATAGCTGGAAAACTGACACCACGTGACATCCACACCCAATTCAGTTTCCCCACTAAATTTAGTGGGGAAATGACGTCACATGACTTTGTATCACATCACCTATGAACAAATTCGGTTTCTTCGCTAGATTTAGCGGGGAAACTGAATGCATAGTGCTGCATTGCGGGATGTTGCAGACCGACACACCAAATTAATTTTTTAGCTAAATTTCGCAGAGAACTGAATTGGTGTACAGGTCTGTGACGTCCCAAAATGTAACGTGCGCGTTTATGCCGACAGTGACAAAGTCAAATTTGGGGGTTTTACGTGCCAAACCTACGACGGGCATCTGGCACGCCCCAGCGGAGGACTGAGGATTAATTTCGACCACCTGGGGATCTTCTGACGTGCAACCGAAAGCTCGGTTATATGGTGCCTTCTCCGCAATAAGCCTCCGTCAGATTGCGGGCACCTCGGTCGGGATTCGAACCCGCCACCAGGGGATCCGTAGGCCGGCGCTCTCGCCTCGGAGCCACCGAGGCGGCTGGCGACAGTGACGCCGCGAAACACGGGAACGAGCGCCTAAGTGAGAGCTTCACTCTCAAAATTACGATGTCTATAGTTCAGCTTCACATTTGTGTTTCCTTGCACTGCCTCCTAAACAAACCTCTTGTGTGAGTACTACTAGATTTCAAAGAAAACTGAAGCGACATCTCTCCAGGACCACTGACCCTGTGCTCTTATAAAGCTAATTTGTAAAACACCGTCTTTCTTGGTTTTTATTTTGTCGTTGTGACCTCGAAATTCCGAGTTCTTCGGATAAATCCGAATTGACAAAAAATTTACCGGCGAGCGTTTTTCCAGATTTTATTGGATTTATCAAAAACCACGAAACCCGAATTATATGTTACTCAATGTTTTGCCATCACAAGTTAGTTCATGTCGCTGTAAATGGTTAAGGAGAGTTTAAAGAAAATAAAAAGAGGAGCTTTTTAAATATTGACACGTAATTTAGCCACATTTAGAGAAATCAGCTGCATTTCTGCATTAAAACACAACTACAATAATGCTAAGCACAGTTTTCTCAGTAGTTGGTAAATAATTTGTGAACGCATCTCAAAAATATGTTTATTTGATGTGTTTTTCAATTTTTGTTTTTGCAGAGAAATCATTTATTATAATTTTTAACATTCCGTGTGCATGTTGTAAACTTTTCGTAAAATAAACGGAAAAAATTATTACTACGTGAATGCTTCGGTGAGAAACTGATGGCCGTGCAAAGTACCATAGCGAAACCTTGGCAATGTCCACGGCTCGAAATTTTATATCTTGGGAAGAAAATTAGCTATGCCGTTTGCATATTGCTGAATCTCAAGAACATGGCCTTAACATATGTTTTTTACATAAATATACAAAATACGATCTGGACCATCATTGTACGAACCGACGTGGAAAAGCAGCCTTTTGTACACTTGACACTAGAAGTTTACCGGTGTTTTTCGCTAAAACCCAAAAGGCTACGGCCTAGTCCTCCTCACAAGAGACCATTCGGGACATATTCAATGCATTACGGCAATCCGACGTATGGCGCATGAAGGTGTACCTGTCAATAACACTGGAAGTTTACCGGTGTTTTTCGCTAAAACCCAAAAGGCTACGGCCTAGTCCTCCTCACAAGAGACCATTCGGGACATATTCAATGCATTACGGCAATCCGACGTACGGCGCATGAAGGTGTACCTGTCAATAACACTGGAAGTTTACCAATGTTTTTCGCTAAAACCCAAAAGGCTACGGCCTAGTCCTCCTCACAAGAGACCATTCGGGACATATTCAATGCATTACGGCAATCCGACGTACGGCGCATGAAGGTGTACCTGTCAATAGAATAAGCTTTTAACGTCGGCTTAGTATTTTGTACAGTAAGCAGGACGCTAGAAATCAGGTATGTGTAGGCTTTGTTGTGTATGCTGTTTTCTGAGAGTTCTGCACTCACAGTGGAAAGAGAGAAAAAATCTCGCCCCTTCCAGGACGTACGGAGCATACAAATCAGCCGCACATTGGAATGGCCACACAATAGACCAATCTCACTAAACTTTCGGCGTATGCACGGCGACGCTAAAACTTTAGTTGACAGGAGGCAGACGGCAGTGCACGAGAGGGCTCGTGCCATCTCGTGCTCCACACGCGCAGAATTCCAGTGAGGTTGTGGCACGTGCAGAAAGACTAAAGTTCCCTGGATGCATTGCGGCATCGGTGGCGTAGTCAAAGTGGCTGGTGAGATTGGTCTATTGCCCGCACTGCCCGGTGGAAAGGAGGGGTCGTGGGATTTTCCGGAAAGGTCTATTCCTGAAATATCCCAAGGACTGTATGCAAGTATGGTAACATCCTCCCTCACTACCCTCAGAGTTTCCAAGCCGAGGCAGCCAAGACTCTTTCTCGCACTCCGGCTGCCCGTCGGTCTTCGAGTAGAAGCCGAGTCGAGCGTCGACAAGAGAAGCGCTCACCTTCGGCTGAAGCTGCCACCACCTGGGGTATGCTGGTCATGGTGACAAACACCACCACAAACCAGAAGGAGACCAATGGCACAAAGTAATAGAACTGGTACGGCCGGTTCATGCTCAGGCAAAGCACCACCACCAGAAGGTTCATCCGAAAGAGCATCTGCAAGAAACAACAATGTGCCGCCTACTGGATGCACAGAGACGCATTTCCGGTTGGCCACTACGAAAGGAGCTAACCGACAAGTCGCTTCATAAGCATTCTGGCAATCGGCTTGCATCACTTACGACCCAAACTTTTCCGACTCTGCTAGAGGGCGAAAGCCAATAGGACAGAAAGTAAAAGAGCAAGGTAAGTATACTGCGTCAATACAAGCTTGCTTTACAGGCAAGCAGGCGGTCTAAAAATACGAGCGTAGAACTCAAATGTCACTTATGTAGAAACATTTGTACAGCGTGGACCATATGGTCCAATGGACTGCATCAATATGGCACTACGATTCACCACAGAAGCTCCAGTAAATGACTGCATATCAACATTTCTAAACAATGAGCTTACTGGAGTATGACAATGCTTTTTATCGGCAACTGTCTGCAAACGACATGCAACAAACAATGGGTGGTGGCAACCGTCCCCTTGCAGTCAATCCGACGCTCTTTGTGGATGCTAGCACCAGCATCGTTTTTCAAAATCTCCATTCTCAAAATGCACGTAATGTTAAGAAAACCATTTTAACCCCTTGCCTACTAATAACGAATGTCACTCGTTATTACGGAGGACCATAAAGCCAGACTACGAGTGTGACTCGTGTTTTGGTTTCGACGCTCGTTTAGCACGCTCTCTGGCAGATGGCAAAACCAGCCCTGTTGCTGCATGGGTTGTTTACTCGTTTGTTGTGCTGTTTGACAGATAGAGAATGCTCCGTTTAGCCAAGAAAAGAAAAAGCAGTTACTTGTGAGCGTTCACGCTAAAACAACGTGGCTTTGCTGCTGAGCTCCACTTTAGCCAACAAAGAGATACTACAAGACCTTCTTTTTGAAAAAGATTAATGCCCAGGCATATGTGACGACAAATCCTTTGGCCATTCCGATTTTTAGGAATCAGACGTTAGTCTGATGGGCAGTGACAAGAGTGATGAAAACAATGCGAATCCTGCAAGCATTCCATAAACTTTAGCATCTGCACATCAGTGGGACTCGGACCAGAAGTCCCGATTTAGAGCAAGATACGACACCTGGAAGTCAATGAAATGTTCTTGTCTTATTTTAATGCTAATAGCCCGTTTAAAATGAAAATTTTCTGCGCGTTTCCTGAAGAAAAAAAATTAGTAGGCAAGTGGTTAAAGGGCTAACGTGTAATCGGGTCGGTAGTTGGGCAAGTTGGAACAAAGAATAAAAACACAAGGACAGGCAAATCACACTAAGAAGCTTTCTTGCACTTCTAGTGTCGCTTTTTATGCCTTGTAATACCTTTCCTACGGGTGAATATATTCTACCGATTCAGGAAACATCCCAACGATTTATCCCACCTCATTTCTTTTAACGTCGTGCACCTTTTATATGGACAAAGCCAACGCATCTATTTTTCCACACTGAGATTCACGGGACACTAGTGGATGATCGGATTAAGAATGCACTGGGATGCATATGTGATCTACATCAGGATTCTGAGGCCATCGATATTAGCTCAAAATTCTAGCACAGGTCACAAGTTTGAGCTGAAATGTCATCTGTCTTGCCATTTGCTGGTTTCCTTTGTAAATCTGAATGGTGAGCTTTCTTTGCACTACGTTCAAACTCTGTTGCTAGATTCGAGGAAACACTGCACTCCTTTGGTATACTCAGTGGGCTGCATAAATCTCTTCCTCGCCATCGAATGCAATGATTTTCCATCTACCATAAAGTTCCGAGATGCCTGCCCCCGAAAGATTGCCTATCCTGTTTTTTTGGCTAAATATCTGCAACATAAAAATTCCAAAACATCGTCCACCCCCCTCCGATTCCCGTGGGACGTCACGCAATGTCCGACAGGAATCGCATCAATTGCGCAATTTGCCATACCGGCATGTCTGACAAGCGAGTTCATAGTGGGTTCCCCCATTTTTGTCTGCGATCTGCGTGCGCAATATCGGCTCCCGTAACACGCGAGTTGCTTCTGCGTGTACGTTGCACCGTGAACTGTTGTGAATCTGCGGTATCCGTTCCTGTGACAAAGTTTAAAGCGGATTCCAGTGATCTGCTCGCGCGACCTCGATTCGACGCCAGTTGGTCCCGCATGTATTGCATCGTGAAATAGAATTCTGCTGCATTCAAGATTTGCTGTATTCGCACTGGTGAGATGCAAGTTTTCGGCAGGTTTCCACTGGTCTTTCGCACCGTGAAATTTGCTACTTCCACCACTTGTGCTATCCTTTCCCGAGACAAAAAAGTTTGTAGCGAATTCCTGCGTGTTTATCACTTCGTGAAAGGCGAATTTCCGATGTCCGTGATTTGCTGTATCAGTTCCCGCATCACATGGTTTGTGGCTGGTGCCAGGGTGTTTATCATTAATTTTTGATAAAGTTTTGCTGCGGCATCCCCAAAGATAGCCCATCCCATGTTTTTCACCATTTACATATCTCTTCATTTTAGGTGGGCATTCTTTCGGAACTTTACGGTAGACATTCGGGCCTCTTGAAATATTGGTTAATTTTTTCATGTCATAAAATTACATATCCAGAGGCATTACTGTAAAATTCCGAAACATTGCCTAGCCCCTCCCCCAATTCCCGCCGGATATCGATCACGCGATGTCCGACGGGAATTGCATCAATTGTGTGATCCACGGTACCAGTACGTGTGAGAAGCACATTCACAGTCAGTTCCCTCACATTTATCACACCATGACACGCCAATCTGTTGCATCTGCAATGTCCGTTCTTGCAAGTTCGTAGCTCGTTTCCATGCTTTTTTGGTCTGCGATGCGCTCACGATATTGATTCCCATGATATGCGAGTTTGTAGTGGTTTCTCCAAGCATTTATTGTACTGTGAAATGCGAATCTGCTATTTTCGCAATCCGCAGTATTCGTTCCTGTGACATGCAAGTTCTTAACTGGTTCCTGTGCTTTTTGTCCGCGATCTGCGAGCGCGATATGGGTCCCAAGAAACGCGAGTTTGTAGCAGTTTCTTGAATGTTTATTGCACCGAGGAATGCAAATCTGCTGCTTCAGCAATCCACAGGATCCATTCCCGTGACATGCAAGTTCTTAACTGGTTCCCGGGCTTTTTTGTCCGCAATCTGCCCGCGCGATATGGGTTCCCTTGAAACGCGAGTTTGTAGCAGTTTCTTGAATGTTTATTGCACCGTGGAATGCGAATCTGCTGCTTCAGAAATCCGCAGGATCCATTCCCGTGACATGCAAGTTCTTAACTGGTTCTCGGGTTTTTTTGTCTGTGATATGGGTTCCCCTGAAACGCGAGTTTGTAGCACAGTCTCTTCAATGTTTATTGCATCATGGAATGCAAATCTGCTGCTTCAGCAATCCACAGTATCCATTCCCGTGACATGCAAGTTCTTAACTGGTTCCCGGGCTTTTTTTGTCCGCAATCTGCCCGCGTGATATGGGTTCCCGTGATAACTCGAGTTTGTAGCAGTTTCCTGAATGTTTATTGCACCGTGGAATGTGAATCTGCTGCTTCAGCAATCCGCAGTATCCATTCCCATGACATGCGAGTTCGTAGCAGGTTTCCACACTTTTGCCTGCGATCTGCGTGCAATATCGGTTCCCGTGAAACCAGAGTTTCCAGCGGGTTCTCGCGTGTTTCTTGTGCACGAATCTGCTGCGTCCGCGTTATCCGTTCCCGTAGGAGTTGGTAGGGAATTCAGACGTGTTTATCAAACCATGGAACACAAATGTGCTATGTCTGCGATCTATGGTACCAATCCAATTTCATGTGGTTTGTAGTGGGGCCTCAAGGTTTATCATCAATTTTTTATACAATTTTGCTGTCGCATCTCCAAATATATTTCAACATTTATCTCTCCATTTTGGGTGGGTGTTCTTTCAGGACGGTATGTATAGGAGCAAGTCAAACTTTTTTATTTTCCATTTGGCTGGGGCCCAATGGTTTCTCACATCTCTCTCTTGCTTGAAACAGGCCTGTGCTCTCTGTCTCAAGCACAAGAAAAAAAATGGCTTTTGTGAAAAGCCAGCACTCCTGAATCAACAAGTCATATTGGTTCTTTCTTGTTTATAGACTTCTGCTAGAGTAAGGCACACTCTATTTATTTATTTAGAAATACTACAAATCTCAGAAGGGATTATAACAGGAATGGACTAACATTTGCATGCATTATAAATTATACTTTATCATCAAAACATACACATAAAACGCTAGTTTTTCTTAGACAGATATAAAATAAGAAGTCAGAGTTAAAACAGTCATACCCCAAAATAACAAAATAAAGGCTTGCAGGCCAACCCTTGTTTTATGTTGCTATGCATGAGAGAAACATAATATAAATACCAGTGTGTCGAACCGAAAAAAATACGGGTTCAGTTACGGTTCAGGTAAATTAATTTTGTTCCGGTTCAGTTCCGGTTAGATTAATTCGATCCGCGAACCGGTTCGGGGCGCTGAACCGGTTCGCGAACCGGTTCGGAAATTATAAATGACAAATTGCAACATCAAAATAAATTAGAAATAAAACATCTGAAATCAGCACATACGAAATGGGATACATCGTAGTGTAAGGCTCAGGGATTTCTACCAGGAATGGTTTCTTCATGTGCACTCAAAGGTTACCTCACCGACGTTTATGCATTCGGACTTCATCTAATTGGGTCTGACGCAGTAGCTGTAAAATCCGCGACCTCCTTACAAACCCACTTACAAGTAGAACTCGCTAACTATCCCGCCACCTCGGCGTGTAAGCAATTGAAGGAACAGTGGGGAGAAAATACAGCTTTCTTTATTTGAACTAGCCTTCGGTAACTCAAATTAGTTTCGGGTTCATCGCGTAACAATATAACGGTTCGGGTTCGGGTTCAGTTCCGGAAAAAATACCGGTTCGGTTCCGGTTTTCGGTTCGGTTCGGTTCGACACCCTGATAAATATATATAAAACCAGTTATCCTAGATTAAACAACTTTATGCAACAAAGCATCTCAGTTGGGAATGAG